ATATATATATATATATATATATATATATATATATATATATATATATATATATATAGTATATATATATATATATATATATATATATATATATATATATATATATATATATATATATATATATATATATATATATATATAGCTATGTTCATTCCGTAGGTACGTCCACGGATTATCGGCCATATGTGAGCGGGACGAACTAAGTGGCTGCAATAGACATCTGCTTACATAGGTAGACTGATGGAAACGCTGCTACATTTTTCTGATGACATGCAGCGGGATACAGTATTGATACCGAGTGAACACAAATGAACACACGGGGTACTTAGATGGCCAGGTCAATCATGGTGCACATCAAGAAATCCTACATTCTAACCACTGACGGAAGCATAAGCATACTTATATATTCTGCAACTTAAATTTATTATCGTCCCCTCATGACATGAAGCAGAATACTTAAATGTATATGTGTGATATCGACTCAACGAGCAAGTAGCTTACCTTCGCGACGGAGCTTGGGATGGAGACCTTCTCCTTGCCATCCTTTGGGTCTGCTGATTTACTTGGATACAATTGTTCCCAAGGAAGCATGATGCGCGCACTCTGAAGTGTTTGGCGGGCCGATGCAGACGGTACACGCCGTACGTATGATATGGTGTCTCCAACATCAGCCTTCAGTGAGACAGAAAGCAGTTTGGATACGATCACCTCCTGAGCTTGCAGACTGTATTAGAGGAAGGTGGTATATAATCCGGTCAACTAAGGTCTGAACATTCGATTCTAGACACTAAGGTATGCGCCAGGGTGCATATCTGTATACATGTGCAAAGTTTGTTGAACGGATCCAAGACAAAAGACAAACGTACGAGCTTGAAAGCTGTTGTAAAAGTAGCAAGTTGAAACTTTATTGTTGGATGCACATTATAGTCTGCAATGACCAGATGTTCTGCAGGTTTCATTATGAATCTCACCCCTGAAAGTAATGTCTGGATTGATCATCTATACGACATGCTAAAAAAATGTGTAAGCATACGTCATGAGTAGTAAACAAATCTGATCGTGTTTGTAGGGGTTCAGAAACTAATCGTGAATCGATACTACACCTTCCCATTTCAAAAACAATGATACACATAGCCATGAATATGCATTCACAGGACTGGGTTGCTCTCGTCAGCTGCGAAAAACTCACCTTTTAATATCTGTCTCTGCCATTCTCTGGAAATCAATCGATTTAATGGGATCCAAAAACGCTGTTTGATAATGGCACCTACTTCCTCCGCCCTGCCCCGTGTACGTATGCGTGTCTTCCCATGCATCTCCATCCAATACCATCTCACGTGCATTGTACTCGCTTCCTTCACACGTTTTAACAGATTCTTCTGTACACGCACACGATGTACTGGAACCTCTGAGTAGACAGACTGACCCGTAGACTGGGTGTATCACGGGTGCGGCCACTCTTTTGGAGTCAGCTACGTCGCGTAGTTGATTCAGCAGCGAGCACGACGCATATACCACACATCTTGGAGCACCGTATTGCCCTGTTGAATGTAGATACATACAAACGTATACAAATTCGTATTGGATGTCACTAAAGTATGCATATACAGCTGGTTTAGCACACAATCCTCATGCCCAAATCGCATACGCAAACCTTATACATATATATATATATATATACATAATATATATATATATATATACATAACATATATATATATATATATATATATATTTTGTATCACACAAGCAGATATCAGCACAATGAACACAATATGCACGCTATTCGGTGATACGTCAGCAGTTGTGAAATATCACGTTAAATGTTCCAGAGTACATTTACTATCGCAGCCCTCGTGGTAAGCTTCAACTCGCCATAACAGATGAGTTGCAGGCATTTACCTGTGGAGAGAATCACATACCTAAATAAAATATCCACATGTATAGATATGAACGTATGTCCATTAATATGTATATATATATATATATATATATATATATATATATATATATATATATATATATATATATATATATATATATATATATATATATATATATATATATATATATATATATATATATATATATATATATATATATATATATATATATATATATATATATAGTATATATATATATATAT